AACTAGTTCTTTACTTTACGATAGTGTGACTGAGTTATTCTGCTATTAGACAAAGCTGAACATGTATGAGTAACCAGAAACTGTTGTTAGATATACACAGAATGCATAAGGGCAACAAAAGCTGCTCTGTCATTATGCAGCATCATGTTTACATCTGTGTATGAATATCAGATGTCTTTCAGTGTGTCTTTCAGTGTATCTTGGTCCTTGGGGTTCTCCGACCAATGAGGAGGCCAGCTGGCTTTGACACTGGGTCTCTCCTTCAGCAGATTGTAGTACTCTCCCAGTTTAGTATAACGCTCTGGAGACAACCTACGAATCAGAATTAAGAAGGATTTCAAGTCCCATGTCTACAGATCATCCTTCATTTTCCTGATGAGACCACATGGAAATACAAACAGCCTCTACGTGCTTACCCAAACCCAAAGAGTGCGCCAACTGTTGGAAAAACGACCACGTCTGCTAGCGTGAAAGACGGTCCTGCCAGGTAAGAGCCTGAGCCCAGCTTGAAAAAAAAAAGAAAGAAAAAAATACAGTTGGAACAAATCAAAGCAGGCCGAGTCTGTCGGAGTTTGTGTGTTTATGCACATACCTTCTGCAGGTAACTCTCCCAGAGTTTGAGTTCAGTGACCAGAGCTTCTTTGTTCCTCTTCAGAGCCGACTCATGTCTCTCACCTTCAGGGACATACCACTCATAGTAGATAACTGCAGCTGAAAAACAAAACTTTATATGTAAAATATTAGCGTTACAGATGCAAAATGTTACCACTAGATGTCAGATTGCAGTCAACTGAAAACTGTTCTCCTGCCCCTCCCAATTCAAGTGCATAATCGTCCCTATGGTGGCCGCCGTAGGACAAAAATATTTCAGTGAGCTGACAGAGATCATAATAATTACATTTAGACGGTTTCACATCACAGCTACAACACTGTTTCTAGTGCTGTTTGTGTAACAAAAGATTGTTGTGCACACTTGATTTTAACATATTCACATAATATCAGCACTTAGTGATAAATCAGGAAATTAAAAAAAACATATGGTCAATTAAATACACTGCTCAAAAATTACAGGAACACTTTGAAAACACCTCAGTCTCAATGGGAAAAAAACATGCTTGATATCTACACTGATAGGGAGGAAAATGTGTCAGAAATTAAAATCACCAAGCTACAAAAGGCTGAATTCAAAGATGCCCTGAAAACCAAAAGTGAAAACGATGACGTAGCAGGTTAGTCCATTTTACTGAAATGTCAAAGCAGCAACTCAAAATGGTGTGCAGAGGTGCTGAATTGGATTTAGGTCAGATGAGTGTGAGGGCAAGCTGATGTATCAATTCCTTCATCCTCCATGAACTCCCTGCATACTCTCATCATATGAGGCCGGGCACAGTTGTGCTTCTCCAGACCCTTTCCACGTCTGTTACACGTGCTCAGGGTGAACCTGCTCTCATCTGTGAAAACCACAGGGAACCAGTGATGAACCTGCCAATTCTGCTAGTCTATGGCAAAAGCAAATCTGGCTCCATGGCGTCAGGCAGTGAGGACAGGGGCCACCCTCATGAAATCAGTTTCTGATTGTTTAGTCAGACATTCATGCCAGTGTCCTGCTGGAGGTCATATTCAAGCTCTGGCAGTGTTCGCCCCGTTCCTTCTTGCACAAAGGAGCAGATACTGCTCCTGTTGATGGGTTAAGGACCATCTACAGCCCTGTATAGGCCTCCTACAGTAACTTCCTGTCTCCTGGAATCTCCTCCATGCTCTTGAGATTGTGCTGGGAGACACAGCAAACCTTTTGTCAATGGTTCGTATCCTGGAGGAGTTGGATTACCTCTAGGGTCCAGGTATCGCCTCATGCTATCCTCTGCTACTAAACTGACTAGATCAATATCCCACAAGTGTAACTGACTTCATGCAATACTCTGATTAAAAAAGGTTCCTTTAAAATTTGAGATATGCATTTTGCAGCATTCCTAAGTTCCTTGAGAGAACTGAGGTTTAGAGGAATAATTTATAAAAGCAGATATCAGGATGTGAAAATACAGATAACACTTACTGAGTTTCTCGTAGAATGTGAGACCCTCAAACATACGCTGGTACACCAGAGCTTGTTCTGCTGGGCCATCTGGGATCAGTTTGGTTCCCTGGGTTTTAAACTGGCTCTGCAAGACATTAGGAAAAGACACACATTTAACTGGGGCACATTTTGTGATGTTGCATTCAGTGTGAGTGAATATTTTATCAAAATGACGTTCTCACCTCCAGGTAAAAACAGGCTGCATAAGATTCATTGATGACATTGTCTCCATGTTTGAAAGTGGGAATCTGAAAAAGAAATTATAATAGTGCCAGCAAGAAAACTGTCATTAGGTACTGTATAACAGGTTTTAATGCTAAGGCTACTGGGTGTTAATTAGGTTAACTGTTTGTATATCAAACAAATACAATTAAAAAAAATTGATTACTTATTATAACAAAACTTTACTGGGATAAAATAACACTCTGCAGTGTTTCCAGTAGTTATGGTTAAAGGCCAGTTTCCAGTCTGAGATTTGGAAAGTGTGAAGAAAAATGTAAATTAAACTGCTTATTTTACTAAACTTAGTCAGCTGAAGGTTATATTCAAGAACCCATATTCAACGATACAACCCCTCATTTCTACATTTTATTTAACACTGTCCTGCTTTTGTGCTGTTCCCTAATAAATAAATTCAATAAGACGCATTTAAAGTCTGATGGAAATGTGCTAGTATATCCTAGTCAAGTTCAAACTGGTTATCTTAAAGCTTTAATATGGATTTAAACATTTTAAACTAGTCGGTTTTTATGAAAAATGAAGACAGCTACACGGTGAATGTCTCGCCTCAGATGCTTTCATAAACACATTTCAGTTAACTTTTCTCTAATGTAAACGAGCCGCCATGTTGGTGCAGTTCGAAACACGGCTGCAAAACTCGCGTGCTCATTTCTACAGCCCATATTTTTTCAAGAGAAATGCTCATCCAATCAGGTGCAGCAGGGCGTGTCCTGAAATGTCTTCCTTGAAGGGGAAAAAAATCTCCTTGAGTAAAGAAATATACGCTAAATGAAACGTTCAGTTTTTATGATTTTGTAAAAGCATTAATCAGAGTTGACACTATTTGCCGCTATTACTGCAACTCTTTATCCGTTAACCGTCCTGCAGAGCAACAGCGCGGATATCAGTGTTTAAGACCGTGACGTTAACGTGAGGCTATTATATAACATTATGGTGCAAAGTCAAGTGTTGTGTTAGTTATACGGGGTGATTTGATAAAAGATCGTCTCTACCTGTCCCCTGGGGTTTATATCTAACACTTCTTGGGACTTGTGCTCCATTTTATCGAAGGACAGCAGTTTTTGGTTGTAGCCCTGCAGGCTCTTCTCCTCCAGAGCGATCATCACCCTCCAGCAGGGACAAGAGCCGGTCGCCCACAGCAGAGTCATTGCCTTGGCCATGGCTTTAACTTGAGATTCACAGTTTGGACGGTCACTGAACTGGACGCACAAAGCAACAGCGCATAAGAAAAATACCCAGTTACTTTTCTTATGGTTTGTAGGAGGGGATGTCAAGCTTTTATAAGAACGTGATTGCCATCTACTGGCTGGAAGAAGAAACTACAACTCTATCATCATGTTTCAGTTGCCTTCTTTATATTTTTGATAGTCACCATTGAATAATTTGTTGAAATAATAATAATAATAATAAATATTTGTTTGTTTGTGTACCTTCTGCACTTTGTGTAGTCGATGACAAGATGTACATTGTACACATCCTCCTCCAAATATTCACATATGCCTCTATCCCAATACAATATAGTATTATATAGTATTTTAGCATAATTAGAAAGGTGACTGACCTGAAATAAACAAGCTGTTTTTATGAAGAATAACTGATGGAGGCTGTGTCAACATTTAATGCTATAAAACTTAATTCTGTTCCCGAACATTAAGTCATTTTATTTGTAAGCAAATATATAAACAACAAGCGTCAGCCTCAGTGATGTAAAAAATAAAATAATACGCCAGTAAAAGCAATAAAAAAACACAATACAGACAAATAACAAATGTTAAGACTCAGAGAAAAAGCCAAGAAATAAAAAATATGTTTTGAAGACAATGGTCAAGTCCTGATGTGAAGCAGCAAGCAGGTCCAAAGTTCCGAGGCAGCTACAGCAAAGGCCCGATCTGAGATATATGCAGAAGCATCTGGTCAGCTGACCTCAGTGATATTTTGGGAGAGTGTGTAGTTAAAAGATCAGGAAGGTAGAGACATGCTGATTTTAAAATCACTTCTTAAACACAACAAAGAAGCCAGAGCAGGGGGAATATGGTCTTATATGGTGACTGTCAAAACAACCCAAAACCAAAGCAGAGCCTCAGAACCTCAGTTTGAAGAAACTAGCTCTAACAACAGCTTTTATTTGTTTATCAAACATGAAGCTTTCACCTTTCGAGTAGGAGTGAGGGTCAGGAGGCCCGAATACTACCACTTGTGTTTTATGCTCATTCAGGTTCAAAATTCACTGCATTCATTTATTTATTTGAGAGGGAGATAGATCACTAAGTCATCAGCATAATAGTTAAATGAAATTCCATATTCTTTGACAATTGATCTTAATTGGAGCATATAAAGAGAACAAAGTCATCCTAGAAATGACCCTTCTAGGATCCTACGTGTGAATGGAGGAGGTGACTCTGAAATAGGGATGGGTACCGGTATCCGATTATGGCACCGGTTCTGACATAAAGGGTAGTAACCAGACCGAAAAGCAGCGTTGTTTAAGCACTGCTTCCAGCCAAGAGTGATACCATATATCCCCTATAGCTGCAGAAAAGGCTAACATTGTTATCTTTTTACAAAAAAACAGCTAAACATGAGAGGTTTTTGGACAAAGTCTGTGTATTCTATTCTTTAAGCACCGGTTCGAGCACCATTTAAGCACGGGCACGGTTTCAAAAGTACCGGTTTGGTACTGGTATCGGATAAAACCTAAACGATACCCATACCTACTCTGAAAACCGCCCAACATGATGGAAAACTTTCTCCTCACACTACAAAAAGGTCATATTGCCTCTCACTACATGGGAGAAGGACCCAAAACCAAAGTGCTTTAACAAAGCTTTACCTATAAGGTGATTTGTTGCGGCTGTGGTCAAGTACAGTAAGCAAGCTGTTTAAATGTTTTTATTTCACGGACTTACAGGAATTCTCTAAAATGACAAAGGGAGGATTCTTTGTGTTTCAGAGGTCTTTCAGGATGTCATAACCCTGTGGACTGGCCACCCAGTGTGGGGGCCACGTGGTTTTAATGCTGGCTCTGTTCTTCAGCAGGCTGTAATATTTGGCCAATTTAGGATAACGCCCCACAGACAGCCTAAAGAGAAAACACATCATGTTACTGGAAAAAGCCGATTGGACTGCAGCTTCACACAAATCAACTGCTTAGCTACCCACCCGAAACGAAATGCACAAGCGATGCTTGGAAAGACGATCACATCGGCTAGGGAGAAGGCCCCTGCTAGGTATGAGCCAGCAGCCACCTAGATGGAGAAGTGAAAGACGCAGTACTGTCAACACAGTGTGTGAGTGCCTGCAAGTGTACACAAGTGTGTGCGTATTGTTCGTACATTCTCCAGGTAGCCCTCCCACAGTTTGAGTTCAGCAGTCAGAGCCTCTTTGTTTCTCTTTACAGCAGAGTCGTGCCTCTCCTCTTCAGGGACGGAGCAGTCGTAGTAGATAACTGAATCTGTAGCAGAACGCACATTAATGTGTGACTGTCTTCATGGCTTCTGTCCCCTCTGTAACTCAGTGCTCAGACTTGTGCAAGTGTAACTTACTGAGTTTATCAGTGAGGGCAAGGCCCTCCATCATGCGTTGATACGTCGCAGCTTGGTCCTCAGCACTGTCAGGAATCAGCCTGATGCCCTGAGACTTAAACTGATTCTGTTTCAACGGTGAGAAAACAATAATCAAAGCAGTGTACTAAAGCCAAACAAATAATAAATACAATAAATTCAAGTAATTAATTAAAATATTCAGAGTATTTACTTTTTGCTGTTTACCTCGAGGTATAAGCATGTTGCACAGGACTCATTCAGTATGATGTCTCCGTGCTTGAACGCGGGAAGCTGACAGAAAAAAATTGGCAGAAGACGTCAGGTTTTGAGGCTCATCATTGTGTAGTGCACCTTGTATCTGTGCTGTTAGTGCCTTTGAGAGCATTTGAAATTCTTGTATTTTTGTTAGCACGTTACTTAGGACGAATTACCAGATGCCCCTGTTTGTGTGTTGTACCTATAGTTTGAAAAACAAGCTTTCAGACACACCTGAACAGGGACTCTACAGACATCTTTTACATACAGTCTATGTGCTAGCTGCTCCCACATTGTGCCTTCATCTCTGTCAGTAAGAGACTGGTCTTCTATCCAGACGCTACCCCTGTTGATATGTGTTAAAATAACTATAATACTCGTTTTGTTTTTTTTAAGGCTGTTATGTCATGGTTGTACACTTTGCTGTGATCATTATGGGTGCGGTGCACCTACCTGTCCTCTTGGGTTGACTTCCAAGACTTCCTGAGATTTGTGCTCTCCTTTCTCAAAGGACAGCAGTTTGCGTTTGTAACCCTGCAGCTTCTTCTCCTCCAGAGTGATCATAACACGCCAGCAGGGAGGTGATCCAGCCCCCCACAGCAGACTCATTAACTTTGCCATGGACGCAGGGACCAAAGACGCAGCGCTGAGCACTGATTAACAAAACCATGAATGAATGCAGAGCTGCACAAACTGGACAAACACCGTAAAGCGAGAAGCAGCAGCAGCAGCAGCGCATTTTACGGCACCTGATTATTCCAAAGGTTATCAAGTAGAACCGCACCACGTGGCTCACAATCACTGAGGTGAACGCTGGGGGAAGGAATGACACACAGATCCAAGTTTGCACTCTATGGTTTTTATTTTTTTTATTGCAGAATGTGTATACACGCCATTTCAAGTGAAAGTGTTTATAAGAACGTTCAGCTCACTACATGGCATTCATGCAGTGGTGTTTCCCAGTTTCTTGCGTCTAGACTGTTCAAGTTGGTACGTGACATGAGTGTGACCACAGAGCTCAAATCGAACGTCCAGATAATGCTCCTCTCTCTCTGTTTCTCTCTCTCAGCAGGGAGCAACACATTCCTTCAATCCACAGAAAGAAAAAAACAAGCCACAATTGATCCTTTGTCTCAGACTATAATACAAGTTTCTACAGCAATTACAAAAATAATACACAATGTGAAATGCACTAAACATGCACACTGTAGAGTTTACAGTATTTAGGACCTGGCAGCTGACAAGGGCATTTACACATATCCTGCAGAACTGTCTGCATGTTCCTCAAAATAGATTATTAAAATGTTTTTGTTTTTTAAAAAAAAGTCCATATCTTTTTTTTTCTTTTTACACTTTACAAACAGTTCCTCTGAGATAAAAACTATTTTTTGTGTTTTCAATCAGTCGTTCATTTCAGCATGAGACTATTAAAGTGGACTTATTATGCTCTTCCTCGTTTTCTGGCAAATATGCACTGTTACACTGGCGTATGCAGTTTCAAGTAAGCGGGTCAGCATATATGCAGTAACCCCGTGAGCCACACACTTCAAAACTGAGCCTTTTTTCCTTCCTACTCATGGCACTGTATGATCGATGAGAGCAGATATCCCTAATACGATCAAATCTTTTGTTTTTAAGAGAAAGCCAATCAGAAAAGAGTTGGCTTAAAGGGCGGGGGAGGGAGTTAAAACGGCTTGTGTTAAGATTAAAGAGGATTCCTTTTAAACTAGCGGAGCCAAAAAACTAAAAATATGGAGTGGGAAATGAGCACAATGGGTCCACTTTAATGTTATTTAAGGTGCAAGACGTCAGAGCTTTGCAAATAAATACTGAAAAAAAACAAAAAACAAACAGAACAGAGATTTTCAACAGTAATACTCATGAGAACCATGTCTTAGGAAGTGAAATTTAGGACGTGAATATGTTAACGAAGAGAGAACGAAGGTACAGCATCGCCCCTTTGAAGTGAAAGGCACTCATCAGCTTGATAACCTTTCGCGTCCCTACAAAAGCACAGCCACGCTCATTACTTTTCAGATGTGTAGATGCTCTTACTGATAATCTTTGTTTTTTCTCCTGGGAACAAATTCAAATTCATCCTCAGCCTGGCAAACTTCACAACCAAAATTCACAGTTTAAACAAATGAAAAAAAACCAAACAAACCCCAAAAACGGCGACGTCACAGCTGCTGACACTCACAAGCGAAAATCATCCCAGCATTCAAATCCTTTTCAGATAAATAAATAATTCAGTGTAGAGGCAGCGTCACTTGAATACATTTTCCTTTTCCTTGCCTAACTGAACAGAATCAGTCCTTATGAGAAGCATTCCCTCGTGACCTCCACTGTTTCTTCTGGAAGGTGAAAATGTCGTAATGCCGCCTCTTCACTCAGAAACATCAGGCAGAAAGAGCCGCTGGGAAAAACCTAAAAGGACAAAGGCTGACAGAGATTTCACACAGACATCTGAAGCTGAGTTTTCACGGCGAGAGGTGGATGATCACATCTGTGGCTCTGGGGAATCAGTTAGCCCTAAAGCGAGAGCTTCTTCTGGCGTCAGGCCGTTTTTCAGCGTCCGCCTCACTGTGAAGAGAAGACGCGGAGAGTCACCGTGCAGTCGCGTGATGTTTTCATGTTCTCCAGTTCTGCACTACATACAAACTACTAACTCAATGCATGTTCCAGGATTTATAATATACTGTAATTAACTTGCTGAGACTTACATCTGCTCTGCATGGGGTTTATTACAATCCATATCTTGGCTTTGGTAAGAATCAACAAATAACAGTCATATTTACTTGGTTTTAAACAGAGAAATTAATGGTGAACATGTAATTAAGAGGCCATAAATAACCATTAAACTTATGCAGTTGAGTGCTTACATTAGGAATCTATTTTTTGACGTGAATAGGTTTTTTGCAATTGCGTGTTTAACCTCCTAAGACCCCGAACTCTTCCACAGCATTCAATTTTAATTTCTCTTTGATATTTGGGCTGATTGGGGCCCGATGAATGTAAACACAAAGAATTACCAGATTTTTTTTTTACCTTATTTTTGTTTTTAAGAAAAATGAGAGCCACATATGAGGATATTCGTTTAAAATATTGATAGAACAGTAGCAGTATAATGTCCTCGTAAGTCGATATCAGGCCCTTGTAGAGCAAAATTGAGTATTTTGGTCTAAATAACCCAAAATGTGATGTGACATATGTGGACGCCAGGTCCTAGGAGGTTAAACATGCAGATGAGCCCCTAGCCATCTAAATTACCACATCGGTATTTGCAAACAGATGTGTAAGTATGAGATAAAGCCAGATTTCACTTTGTTGACTAATAGAAAAAATAAACTGTTTACACACGGAGGATTCTGAATATTACGTTTTATGACTTTATTTCCTATTTCCTATTTTCTCTCCCATCTCACATTTAATGGAGACATTGGAGAGAAACGTGTGGTTAGTATCTTTCCCAAGTGTATTTGGCATGCAGAGTGGAGCAGCTGGGGGTTTATGAGAGCCTTTGACTCAAGCATGGGTTAGACTCCTTGATCTGAATGAGCGAATGAAATATACTCTCATTAAATATGCAACAACTTTCTGAAATTTCCAACAAATAAAATACTAAAATATACATCTAAGCAGACATTTACTAGTATGAAATAAAACATGTTTGGGAAGCAAAAAATAACTATATATGTGTGTGTGTCACTCGGTTTCATGTTAGACCCACCAGGCACCAGGTAGGTAATGTTTGGTTTTAGAAAGATAAGACAGATAAAACACCATGCTTGTGGTTTCAGCAGCAGGACTTTAATAACCACAGTGTGTCATTTAAGCATCTGTATAGAGTCCATCTTTTATATACAGTCTACAAACTGTACTCTATCTCATGTAGAAACAATTATGTTTTTGCCTGCAGTGACTTTAAGGTGCTTAATTTCCCTTCACTTCCAGCTACTCTGATTGCTGTATTTAGCTTTATATTTATATGAAAGCAGTGTCATGGTTTTGAAGTGTTTTTTTTTTCTTTTTTAAAAAATCTCAAACTATATTTCACATATTTTTTCTTATGCTTGTTTCCTGATGTCTTCTTGGAGGTGTTACTCATCATCCACTATGCAGTCAGCTTCTTAGATTAGATACATTTTCATGGTCATGCTTTCAGTTTGAATTAGCGTGACGTGCAGTTGGGACAGAGGTAAGCTCGTACATGATTTGCGGTTGGCCCTGGATCTCCTCCTCTCTCTGGGCTGGGTTCTGGTTCCTGGACCCTGAGTGGCTGACCTCACTATGCGCTCCATGATTTCATCTGCAGCATCATCTCCACAGATCTGAGTGTCCTCCACAGGCGGAGTCCATGCCTGCATGCTGCGTCCTGCATAAACAGGTGAGAAAATCTTTAGTAGGGAAATCCTTTCGAGTGACCCAACTCCAGAAATCTTCTTTCTCCCTTCCCCACCTCCTCGTCCAGGCCGTGACCTGGTCCGTGTCCGCAGTCCCGGCACGCCGCTGCCCTCCTTGTCACTGCCACCGAGGCTGGTTCTCAGCACCGCTTTCATGTGCTCGTGCTCTGCAGCATCCTCGGCATGCTCCAAACCCTGAGGCTGCTCAATTTCCTGACCCCCACTGGGGGCGCTGTTGTTGCTCCCTGCGCTACTCCGACCACACTGTTGGAGCGAGACGGAATCAAAGAGGATCAGAATTTAGCAGCTGAGTATTCTGAACTTTAACACGGCAAAGTGGAAGCACCAAGAAAAACATCCAACTTCAAACAGTACAGTGCCTGGTGCCTTTGATGTATCGTTTAGTCGTTTAGATGCAGTTAGTGGATTCATGCACACAAACACACAGACAGTTGATACCTCACGCTCCTCTTCATCATCAGACTATGGGAGAAATAAAGAGTGAAAGTCAAAGAATAGTTGCGAATAGAATAGAATGAAGCGAGAAAGATGAAAAAGCAGCACTTCAGTTTGAAGAAGAAAACAAGAACAAAAAGGGTTGGAAGTGTGTTTGTGTGTGTGTTTGAGAGAGAGAAATACTCACAGGAGTGTTTACGTCCATGATCATCTTTCCTCGGGTCTTGTTGCGCTCGCGATGGTCGGCTCGTTTCTGTTTCTGCTGCAGCACACGCTCTCGGGTGGTCCGGTACTCCAGCGCAAACTCGCTGAGGATTTTACTGAACCTGTGGACGCTGATCTCTCTCACACTGTAGGCCGGGTGACCAAGGAACAGCAGGAAGGAGTGGAACCTGAAAGGAAGAAGATGAGGGTGATGGCAACCCGTCCTACCTCCTGTTTTATGTGTTGCACTACACAGATTTCCTCATTCACACAGCACAGTGTTGGTTTTAGTAGACTAATTAGTTTTGTTTTGTTTTTTTGTGGTAAACATCAATAATAAATGATTCAAACTGTGAGACGAGCTACCTGTTGATGATCCTGCGGTGAACAATCTTAAGGATGATGATTCGCTCTGCACAGTCTTTGAGGAAGTCGGACATCTTCTGCTTCAGCTGGGGCTTCATTTCGTGCTTGGCGATGACCTTCAGGTGGTCCCACGAGGCTTTGCAGCGCCGCTCCATTTGACACAAGTTCTCCTGCAGCTGGTCAAAATCCACCTGTTGAAAAAAACGTTTATACAATCCAATTCAAATTACTAAAACACAGGATATCTTAGTGCCCAGGGGCGTAATTTCCAGGGAGGTTTGGGGGTTTATGGCCCCCCCCAATAATCAGACCCAACCAATATAACCCCCCAATAAAATTAGGAATTATCTTGCATAAATAGGCTGTTGATTTTCTTTACTTATTTCAGTCATTACCAGCAAAATAGTTGCATGTTTAATCATCTGGGAATTTACCCAGATTTATTTATTTATTTAGACAGACATCTTGACCTCCCCAATGTTCAGCACAAAGTTATGCCGATGTTAGTGCCCATTTACAAGATTTCTGTAAAATGATACTAAAGATTTAAAGAATGTCTATATGTGTGTTCATCTTTATGTCCTCGGCCTATATTGAATTTTATTTCAAAAATGATTCTCAGTTGTCTGGATGAACAGCCCCTCTAATGGTTTCAGGTCCATTTTAAAGTCCACTTACCATTTATATAGGTGTTCCACAGGGATCTATTCTTGGACCTCTTTTATTCACTCTCTATATGAGCAACTTTATCTCAGCCACTCAAAACTGCAATGTAGAATTTACATGCTGATGACATTATTCTATATGCCACTGGCTCTTGCCTTGATCTGGCCATTGCAAATCTACAGTTTAATCTACAGTGGGTCAAAATCCTCTGGTCATACATAAATTTATTTTAAGCACTAATAAATCAAAATGCATGATATTTATAAAATCACCTAAAAGTATCCAACCACATTCAAAACTTTCATGGTGATAGAAGTGAAACTTTTAATTGTTATAAATATTTAGGACAACTACTCTTGCACATACTTTTTTAAAAATGTGTGTCTAATAATTCATCCTAAACAACACCAATTTTAAACCAAAAACCACATCTCAACCTTCAAAAAGGCCCTGGGATCACATACACACATTCAAACCAAAACCTCAACAGCTTTTGTTTGCATGTTTAACAGGTAAGGTCCCTTTCCCCTTCTGCTCTGAAATTTAAATGATTATTGGCTGGTTTGATAATTTGATTGTGGCGTGAGGTGCTTCCAACTTCAGTTCAGTCAGGGGAAAAAAAATTATGTTTTATCTTTTTAGGTTTTTGGACTTATTTTGACAAAATTCAAGCAAATGTAACTCTTGATCTTTTACAGTGTAGAGATGCAGAATAGGTTAGCAGTGAATGCACAGCATACTTTTGCAGAGCGCGTGATGGCTCCTATCTCTGAGTAGAGGTCGGTGCTCTGAGGGAAGTTTTCCACCACCACAGAGCAAACGTGATGGAGCAGTGACTGCTTATGGACCGTGTCCTTTACTTCTGGAACCTTCTCCAAATAGGTCAGCTCGAAGCCTTTAGCCTGGAACAGGAATGTTGTGTTTATTTTGAGAAACAAACTCGGATTCTACTGACTTGTCTCCCAGTAATCTGATGTAATAGTCATGACTCACATTGGTGCCGTTGAGGAAGTTTCCGATGGAGAGCAGCGTAGAGAGGACGTAGCGGATAGTTTTGTTCTTCTCCAGCTGATCCATACCCTCCTTCAGATCCTGCAGTGGCTCTGCTACTTCCTAGTAGGAAAACACACACACACAGACACAGTTATACAAGTTAATTAAGACTCCCAAAGACATGTGTTTCATTAGTCTGCCATTAAATAAACAGCGAACAGGTGCATGTTGTCTGCCACCTAAAATCATCTGCTCTTGTTTAAGGTCGCGAGAGGTTGCCACAGAGGTTGCTGCGTCGGTCAAACTTCAGCACGAAACATGTTTCTGATTAAGTCGACCTCTTGTTTGTGTGCAGCCGGTTCTCTTGAGTGCATGTGTTTGTGTGCCTGCATGCTATGCTTCCCTCCATTAAAGCTTCCACTTCCAAAGCGGAGCCGGGAGCACGGCTCTGCCGAATATGCGGTGGGGAGAATCGTGCCTTACATGGAGATTAAAGACAACAACATCCCGCTGGATGCTGTAAAATTTACAGGGCGGTAACAGAGGGGCAGCATGTTTCTCATACTCCAGGCTTTGGCTTTGAACTTCTCCTCCTGGATGCATTCTTCGCTCGAATAAAACACGACGCCGTGCCAGCAGAAGACGAGGTGCCGCTAATAAGCGTGCATATTTTGTCATGATGTAACTATGTTGATGCTTTGCGGATGTTCTTTGTACTAAGAGGATGTTGATACTTAGTGATACGGGTTTAAAGAGTACACACAATAAGCACACATGCTGAGCACATTTGCTCAAACCTCTGTGGTCTGTTTCTGCTTTAAGGAAACCACTTTTACTTGCTAAGTATCATTTCAAATGTGGATGTAGTGATGGTGTTGGTTCCCTCCCCTTATGGAAAGTACATTTTTCTTAACACTCTTAAGGCTTTTGTTGTTTCACCTTCTCCGTTGCCTCATAGTCCATTTTAAAGGCCCAGAGCTGGAGTCTGGCAGAGAGCTCACTGATGGAGGACAGGGTGAGGAGAAACTGCTCTGCAGAGCCCAGCGGGACATCAGGGTTGGCCAGCTGAGCCTCCTGAATCTTCTGCTTCTCCTCCTCTGTGGGAATCATCGTCAGGATTTTCTGTGAGGGGAAAAACAAAATTGTGGGATTAGAGACAGCAAAGTGCAGATGTGATCTGTTAATCACTCCCTTTCTTTTTTTACCATCGTCTGAATCTCTCACCTCAATGCCCTCCTTGTTGAGAGCATACTCGTCAAAGTTGAGGATGGCTGTCTTGATGGTGCGAGGTGGAGGCAGGACTGTCAGACCAATATTGATGGCGTTGCTCCTTTTGGAATCCAAAACGATGATCTCTTGGCGTTTGCCATCGGCCGCTGTTTTCTGGAGCATAAAAATACAGACGGGGGGAGGGGGAGGGGGTCACTGCTGGATCTCTGTTTTGCTCCCTCCTGTATTTTCTGCGTCTCGTTTCTCAGTGTGGTCTGGTTTATGGGCTTGTAAGGATTAGAGGGCCCATCACTCAGGTTACATTGATCGCAGCTGTGGGAACTAAATGGGCAGTAGAAGCAGGAAACACCATGACAGATTAGCTGTATACTAGGTGTGTGTGTGTGTGTGTGTGTGTGTGCATTCTTATTTATGTGAGTGTCAATGTAGGGGTATCAACCTCACTGCCATCATAAACTATTAAAGGAAGGAAGTCATAGCATGTCAACAGTTAACAGTGTAACAGAGTAGGTGCAAAGACCTTGTTAGTGTGAAGCTGGTGAAGCTTAAACTGGCCCGTGGAGCTGTATGATGGGAAGTGGCATCTGCTGCCCTCTGAAACTCCTCATATTTAGTGACTCGGAAATGAAGTGCTGGTGTAGCACAGACAGGAGCTTTTACGATACTTCCTGTGAAATTTCAACAACGTGGAGCTGCACTCCCAGCATGAAGGAAGAGTTAATATACTGTGTAGGAATTTAAGTACAACACATTGTGAGTTTGTACAAACAACCCAAACAGAAACTTGTGACTGTTTTTTTATTAGAACAAGACGAGGATTAACGTGTCTTGTTGTAACTATGCAATGTGTAAATACAGTTTATATGTTTGATGTTTCCTTCCAATAGTTTTAAGCTACCCGGAGACAGAGGGGTTGCATGTCTACTCTGCTGGCGGTATGCAATTGCAACAATATTGGGAATAAATAAGCATGTTCATAGCATGTTTTTGTGTGTTGAAATCAATTCAAGAGATTTTTTTCAGATAGTGGTCGTGTTTTGCTTTTTTTTTTCATTCCATTTTTCCTTCTTTGATGAACAGGACCCCCCTCAGATGATAAAAAAATGGTATGATCCGTCATATTCAGAGTCGGAACGTGCAGGCATGAATTAAAATTTGCCTCCACAGGACGCAAATGCCAGAGTTCCCTTTTTACTCTAACTTTGTTGTACTACATATGTGTCTGCTGTATAGCCACATACATGATGGTGGGACTTCACAAACAAGTATCTAGTCCTATGTATTTTTCATGTATCGATTAAGCTCATGACAATGCATCAGTTTGTTGGAAGACGTACTTACACGCTACTCAATGTAAATTTATGTGTACAACATTC